CACTGGTGAGATTTCTTGCTGGAGGGAGAAGGTCTCCATGCATGTCCCAGCTGCGTCCAGGGGACAAAGCTCCACCGTCGGGATTATATGCTGGAGGGGGAAGGTCTTCACACAGGTCCCAGCTGTCTCAGGGGTGCAGGGATCCATTGCTGAGGTTGGCTGCTGCACCGGGAAGGTTTCCACGTAGGTTCCAGCTGTCTCAGGGATGCAGGGATCCACTGGCGAGATTGCATGCTGGAGGGGGAAGGTCTCCACGAACATCCCAACTGTCTCAGAGGTGCAGGGCTCTGCTGGTGAGGCTGTGGGCTGGAACGGGAAGCTGGTCCCTCCCTTACTTTGAGGGGGTTCGCAGGGGATGGCTGCTGGGCACACGCTGGCACCCACATATGGAGGTGTGCAGGGGTCCTGGGCAGCCGTGTGCTCAGGGTAGCAGGCATCCCCGGGCACGGGGACAGCAGGAGGTGGGCAACTGGTCTCAACCAGAGGGCAAGCATCCAGGCAGGTGGCTGCACCCTGACATGGGCAGGGCTCTACCTGAGAAGTCTGCTCAGGACAGGGGTCCATGTCCTGCCCGGGGCAGGCGTCCAGCTCCACCACGGCACAATGTGATGGGGAAGGGTCGGTGTGCGCAGCCTCCCCCGTGCAGGTGGGAGGGGGCAGGCAGGGCAGCTTGCACTGGGAAGACATCTTTCTGCACTGTTGGCAAGCCTGAAAGAAAAAGAGTAATTTGGTGTCTACTCACCCAAAGTATCCGACTTTTCATTTTCTTGGCTGGTGACTTCTTCAGTAAGATGGTAGCTGTTTATGCCACAATTTGGTCGTGAGGTAAGGAATAGAGAGAAAATTTGCTGCCCTTTTTTTTTTTTTATTTTCCTAAATTCTACAACCACTTCTTATGAAAAGAAGTTTGGTCATTCTGTTTTCCTGTATAAACTCCTAAACTCGGCTTTTCTTATTAAAATCTGTTTTCAGCCAAATAATTTCACCCGAGCAGCGTTTATTTTTGTGCAGATAGCGTCCTAAACTCGGCTTTTCTTATTAAAATCTATTTTCAGCCAAATAATTCAACCTGAGCAGCATTTATTTTTGTGCAGATAGCAGTGGATGTGATTAACATTTTCAGCAGGTTTATAAACTTCAAGTTAATCTCCTCCATTTTCCAGATGTTTTTTCCTTGGCCTGAAAACTCCCTGGCAGGAAAACACCCGTCTTGCAGCGGCTGCAAGAGGTGCAGCTATCACTGTCCTGCCTTCACCATGGCTAAAAGCAGCAACAGGCTAGACGGGTAAAAGAAAGACGTGGTTATTCAGGTTTACGGTGAGTCTAGGCGGTCTTACCTGGGACCTTGGCTGCTACCGTACGCGTTGCTGCAGTCAGTTTGCCGCTTCGACGATAACTACATGCACGGCAGTTTCGGCTCCTGCCTGCCGCGTAGGCACTCGGCAAACAAGATTTATCCCTCTAAATCCAGCGTTGAGACAAGAGGAAGCATTTTGCAGAGCATCCACGGGAATTACAGCCAAGTAAGTGCGAAGGAAGAAGATCATTACTCTTTCGAACCCTTATCACCACGGAGGCGTGAGAGCCAGTAAACAATTTCCCTCATGCAGCTGGTAGCGGTAATCTATTTCAGCACGTAGTAGGAAAATTAACACCAGCGATAGGCTTAGATCTGTACAATCCCAAAGATACTCACCCAGCTCAGTATCAGCAAATAAAGACGGCGAGCAGACACGGCAACTTTAACCTGGGATCTGCCTTGTATATTCAAGGACCTGGCCTCTGGAGATGAGATGCCCCAGGCACACAGACAAGCTACTCTTTGCTAACCCAGACCTGCTCCACCTCTGCCCTGTGATGGATTATTTGACTAATTATTTTTAATGGAAACCGGCTATTTCCGTGGCTGTAGCATAACCTCAAGTGAGCAAAATAGGTTGTGAATTCACGTGTCCTTCCAGTGGGTCTGACGCCAGAGAAGAATTTGGGAAATGAATGGACTCTCGGCTTGCTCTCAAATAGTCGGCCAGTCATGGGCCAGTTTTTCTGTGACGATAAAACGTCCTCCAGCCCAACACATCATGTGGGCCATTAAAGACAGGATGGAATGTGATGTGGGATTCTTTTATTTTTAGCTACATCTGACCTCTTTTTGTCACTGCCACCGTCCTGTACAGATGTGGTGCTGCTGGTGGTCGTGTCCTGACGTGCTTCTGGAAACTCTTATATCATCACTAGTCTGGTGATATTTTGCGTTTTCTCCTAAAGCTCTGACTCAAATAACATAACACAACTCCATCGCCATGATGGTGCCTTTATTCTCATGCAGGTACACCCCTGAAGAGCAGGTGGGTGATAGGAGGAGTGACCACCACCCTTTTCCCTTCAGCCCACTGGTTTACCAAAGTCAGCTATGTAATACTAAGGGTTAATTCAAATCACTGTTATCAGCAGCAAACTGGCAACCCAAGTGGTCACGCATCCCAAATTTATTTATTTCGACTTAAATAAACAAAAGCCGCTACACTGGACACCGCCGTGCTCAGCAGCATGGACACGCACATTTAAAGGGAATAGCATGCAGACACAAGAACACACCTTCGTCTCCAGATGATGTTATGTCCTCGTCTATGCGTGCAAGTAGTACTGCTTCAATCCTTTTGTCACCAAGTGACTTAAGGCTAGTTTGGAGTGAGCAGAGAAGGAAGTTTCAGTCTTTGATCTCTTGCAGGCAATGCACTTGTTGACTCTCCCTTCTCTCCTATAATGAAGGATTTTCAGACAAGAGTATCTTTACTTGACCTGACTTGTGGCAGGTAGAAAGCAGCAACTTGCTGTCTTTCATGAACGACGTATTTTGGTCCCAGTTTATCCTGCTATATGATAGAAATGTGCACAGCAAACCAAAAAGGGCCACTACCACGGACACTGTGGTCAGAGCACCAAACCCAGATGGTTCATCACCCTGGAGCATCACTGCATAGAGATGGGCCACTGCGGAGAAGTCCTGGAAGGAGCCTAAGTGACACTGAAGATCGTAATACAATGTGAATCCTTCATCAGCAGCCTAACTGCCAAAATCATTGCAAATTTTGGTTTCGCTGACATACTGCCCTTGGTTGAGGAGCACAGATGTTGAGAAGCTGCCCTGGACCGGGCTGCACTCTCCAGCATACACCAGCAGTTACAGGGCAGTGAGTGCTCCTCTCTGGCACACGTGAGACCACATCTGGACTCTGTGTCCAATTTGGGGCCAACAGTGCAAGACAGTCTCCAACAAACTGGAGTGAGTCCGGTGGAGACCACGAAGATGGTCCAGGAGCCTTGAGGAGATGACGGATGGGGAGAGGCCGAAGGACCTGCTCACCCTGGGAAGGAAAAGACTTAGGGTAGATCCTGGGGCCCCTTTCAGCTGTCTAAAAGGTATTAATGGAGAGGTTCTTCTCAGAGGTGCCCAGAGACAGGGTAAGAGGCAATGACTGCAATTTGCAACAAGGGAAGTTCTGACCAGATTATCGGGAATAAAATTCTCCGTAGGAGGGATGTTGTGCGCTAGTAAGAGCAAGCAAACTCGCACAGTAGAGCAGAACAAAGCTGCTTACAGAGTCCTGTCCCTTCTGTAACCCTGGTCTGTAGGGCTGTCTCGGGCGAAGGTACCAGAAAATGTATGAAATTAGCTTGTTTCAAAACAAAGTTCAATTGGGAGAGGGATTGTTTCCAGGCTGTATCATCAGGTTTTTGTTTCCTATCCCCCATAGGAAATATGTGAATCAGGAATTCAAGCTTGCAGGCAGCCGTCACGGTGTCGCATGTACAACCTCGGTGGCTGGATTTCATTAAAAATTATAATGTAAGCAAGTAATTGATGGATTGGAGGTGGAGCAGGTCTGGATTATTAAAAATTTTATTTCCATACTCCTGAGGTGTCTCACTTCCGGAGACTCGGACACTGAAATCATATAAAAGGATTCATATTGTAGTGTTTCTCAAACCGTTTTGGTTTCATTTGCTAGTTGCTGGTGTTGAATTGGGTAAGTCTCTCTCGGCTTACTGGGAAGCAATGTAGTGGCTGGGGTTATTTAATTTTTAAATATTATCTGCAGAAGAAAGTTAGAAGACTTAGGAATGCTTCTGCTTAGTGAGATTTGTGTACGGTACTTAACAAGCAGCTGAGCTAAGGGTAAATATTCATTCCGTCTTCTACCAGCCTTGGTTTGCTGTATGTTTTGCAACTGTTGTGCTTTCTCCATCAAGATGCGTCTCAGGGTAGTTGAGAGTCGACTAACCTCTCTCTTTCCCCAGTGACATCGCTACCCTCTTTTAACCAGGAAATTACTGGGTTTGAGAGAGATCAAAAGGCAAGGCTAGGACTTCAAAGGCAAAAAGTGGGAGGGCAGATAAGAAGTGGAGACTTGCAGGCTGCAAGGGTAAGCAATGCCTGGAAGGAAGTCTGGACGAGAAAAGCTAGGAGTACTTCTGTGGGAGAGGTGGGGAAGCAGCTGCGCTGTAAGCTCCAGATTCTTTCCATGTGGAAGTTTTCCAGCACGAAGCCTCCACTCGTGTCCTCTAGCTGAGGACCTGCGTGTGGACAGGGCACCGTCAGAAGCCTGGTAGTCTCCTTTTCGGGTGGAAATAGGGAAGTAATGTCAAAGAGTCAATCCCAAACTAAGGGGAGGTGTGGACAGGTGGGGGCTGCCATGACTTCAGACTCTGCAATATAAGCTAGCTAAGTCCAGATAACACCACTTTTCTTTCCTGTTTTAAGAAAAAGTTGTTTGAAATGTACATGCAGCCAGTAGGTAGAAGGTCTAAAATGCTTTTGTGTGGAATTACGGCCCTGCTGTGGATTTCAGGCTGTTTTCCAGGTATATTGTTCAGTATTCAACTGGAAAAAGTGTAGTTTAACTCAGTGTATGAAAGAGCCTCACGAAAGCTGAATGTCTCTGTTTTCCACAAGGTCTATTCCTTTCCTGCTTTCAGACATTACCCCTCCCTCAAAGATGCATTGCCAAAATGATTATCAGCTGAGACAGCTCTGCCTTCCACCTCCCACCATCTTGGTGAAGAGTTTTCCCATGAAAAAATACGTGGATGCCTGTGGTGTCGTCCGTAACATCCAGTCCTTACCTCCCTGTGTGGATCCCTGCTGCTACGCTGGGATTCCGCAGGGCAACACCACCTATGTGAACCTGGGTAATCTTGGTGTGACACAGAGTGCCAGGTGCGTGGATCCGTCCTGCTTCGGAGTCACCGCGTGTGTGCCTCCGTGCTGTGACGAAGTGATCAAGTGTACCACCAGACGAGCGGACCCGTGCTGCTGCAAAGTGACGGAGTGCACCACCAGATGCCAAGATTTGTGCTGCGAGGAAGTGACCAAGGGCACCACCACGTGCGTGGATCCCTGCTGCGAGGAGGTGACCAAATGCACCACAAGATGCGTGGATCCCTGCTGCGAGGAGGTGACCAAATGCACCACAAGATGTGTGGATCCCTGCTGCGAGGAAGTGACCAAATGCACCACAAGATGCGTGGACCCATGCTGTGAGGAGGTGACCAAATGCACCACCACGTGTGTGGATCCCTGCTGCAAGGAGGTGACCAAGTGCACCACCGCGTGCGTGGATCCCTGCTGCGAGGAGGTGACCAAATGCACCACAAGATGTGTGGATCCCTGCTGCGAGGAAGTGACCAAGTGCACCACCACGTGCGTAGATCCATGCTGTGGACCTGTGACCAGATGTGCCACCACATGCCTTGATCCATGTTGTGGGCAAGTGACCAAATGCACCACCACATGCGTAGATCCGTGCTGTGAAGGTGTCAC